GTGTCGATTTTTTTTTTTTTAGTGTGCCCGCCCCCCCCCGTCTCTCCCCCCTTTCCCCCCCCCCCCCCTCTCCCCTCTCCCCTCCCTCGCCCCCCCCCCCCCCTCCCCCCCCCCCCCACCCCCACCAAATTAAAATCTGGGTATTATAGTTGTCTCCAGCGAAATTCAAAACAATGCTTGTGCATTGGAGGCCGGACAAACAAGGTGTATTATGGGAGATGTGCAGATGGTAAATGTAACAAATTTTGCTGTTCTGTTATTCTTTTGTTATTCAGTGAGATGTTAATGAGTATATAAGATGTTTTTCTGCAAAACCGTATAAATACGAGCGCCTTCTGATCCACCACTGCGCCAGCCTCATTCAATGTCTTAAGCGCATCAGGGACTTTCCTAATGTTGCGAAATTGTCTAATAACTAAAGAAAGGTCAAATAGTGGTTATGGCAAAGTATTGTGGCAATAAAAGGTGCAGTTATGTATCCCCTAATCTAAGGTATCAGATGTTAGGTTTAAAATTAGACATGAAACGCGCTTGCTCTATGTCAATAAGATACATAAATTTTTAACGTCTCTCTTTTTGTTTGTCTTGTTCATTGCAGCTAATCCTATACTACTGACACTATCTCGTGTGCTCGCACGAAAACGTCATCGGAAAAGGGTTTTGTCCACTAACAAGAACACTTGTGATTTCAGAGCACATTCTCGAAAATGGCGAAGCTGCGTCGCACCGATGATCTCGAAAGCGGGTCGTCACCTTTTCAACTCAACAATGTCGCAGTGCTAAATGTTGTTTACAATGGCTTTCGAGTTTTTGTAATGCACCTGTCAATGTTTAGCCCCGGGGGGGGGGGGTTGGGGGGTGGGCATACCCAGGGGCGCTAAAAGGGGCTGCAATCGGCTCCTTTTTAAGCCCGATACTATTAATACACATTATCAAAAATTAATCTAAGCTATCAGATGTTAGTTTAAGAATTAGACATGAAACGCGCTTGCTCTACGTCAATAAAATACGTACATTTCTAACTTCTCACTTTTTGTTTGTCCTGTTTTGTAGCTAATAGGTAAGGCTATCCCTACACTACTGGTACAGGATAGCTCGTGCGTCGGCACGAAAACCACATCGGAAAGGGTTTTGTTCACTAACAAGAACAGTCGTGATTTCAGAGCGCTTTCTCGGACGTTGCGAAGCCCTGTCGACCCGATGATCTTGAAAGTGGATCGTCACCTTTCGCTGTGCCACTCTTCGTAGCAGTGTGACGAAGAAGTTGATCTAGGCCGGGGTATTTTTCTTGCCGACATGATTAAGTTGAATTCGATCTAGTAAAGACATTGCTTAACACGTTTCACTTAACTGACGTTAACGGAATGAGTTAACGGCCACCTAATGTTCCACCTGTCGTCGTTTAGTTGTTTTTTTTTTCTTTTTCAATTAAAATCAACAATGTCGCAGTGCTAAATGTTTGCCAATCAGTACAATAGCTTTCGAGTTTTTGTAAATTTAAAAAAACTTTATTTCTATCCCTTTTCAGTAGCCAGTTCAGTTTCGGTCGTATCAATTCTTTTCTTCTTTTGCAAATTCCATGGTGTCCATATTCAACTTTATAGTTATACATGCGATTGAAAAAGGCGAAATATGAGTGTTTCAATGCTATTTTGCACCTTATAAATAATAAATTATTATTATCATGTGGACAGCATTGGAGTTTCAAGCGCCCCTTAGTCGGTTACTAACGAAACGAAACGGTAGATGAATAACCTGAAATAACCCAAACAATGTTTTAATTAGACCTAATTACAATAGCAGGTGTTTTTCCAATATAAAGAGGGAGTTTCGCGTTTATACCGTTGCTGATCCACTCTCCCTAAATAACGCTCAACTTTCTGATGGACTCGAACTAAAGAGAGCACTATGATTGCTTTGCTGTACTTCTGTAGTCTTTTCCTGTTGCTTTCTTGGAAACAAGTGTCAACCTGTTCACAAGTGCAGGGTAAGTGTCGATTAAGTTAAGTAGCTGAGGAATATAAAGCAACATGATTACCATTGGCAAATTCAGTAAAAACCCAACTATCTTTTGAAATAGTCTTCCGGTCTGACAATGATTTCAGTTCTAACAAGAAAAAGACAGAGCGAACATTATAGCGTTTCGCTCCTGCCATTAGTTTTAATTCGTATATGCAATTCAGAGATGTCTGCATCCAACAGGCTTTTTACAGCCTGCAAAAGTTTCGACAAGAAAGAAGCCGCGTTGTTTCAGGTACTCGTCTCATTTTTTCTCTCAGTACTGAACTGTTTTTTTTGCTCAAAAGCGTTTAAGCGGCACTTTCATCATATGACTAAAGCTACAAGAATGAGAAACGTTCAGATACGAAACTAATAGAAAACCAACTTTATGACCAAAATTATAACAAAAGAATTCTGTTGAAGGACAAAGAACCAAGTAGCAATGTGTCAGTCTGTTTTTTAACAAGATATTTAGTGCATGTTTCCCTGCTCTGTTGTAGTTTTGCTAGCATTATTTTCAAACTCCGGTTTCAGGTCCATGTCGTGAATTGGCGTTCCCAAGTTTCCTTTTCTTTGCTAACAAGCGCTTGCTGAACCACAGAATAAGAGTTTTACAAGTTCAAGACCTAGACGAGTGCGAGTTACGATGTTACCACGAACACAATTGTGTCAGTATTAATTTTAAACTCACAATGCTTGCAAGAGGAAAATACAGCTGTGAATTGAACAATTCAACACATGGCGAGCATGAACGAGACCTTGTACCTGACCAAGATCACTTTTATCGTGGAACCAAAGTAAGATGACAAAAACTTAAAAAGTTATTTCTTGCAAATGTTTTAAATGTACTGTGTTTCCAGTTGTTAGAAACGGTGAAGAACCGAAACGTAAATACTTGTGTTATTTAGTCTAAATGACTAATACCGTCCTTGTTGTTTTGTACCGGTGGAATAGACGGGACATATCTCTTGGAAAATTAAGTATGTCTACCAAAAGTTCTGTCACTTTTAGCCAAATGACATTAAAATAGCAGCTAGGGTGACCAAAAAGTTGACTTCGGGTAAACAAAACTAAACATCAGAAAGGCCCAGTAAAGCCGGTTGTTAAAGAAGGAAACCAGGCACACATTAAAAAAAACTTGAGAAATCCCTGCTAACGAAACAAATTTAGTGGCCAACTGAAAACTCTAGGGAGACAATGCCGCCCCCCTTGCAAGATTTAAAATCACATCAAGCTTGCTATATTGATTAAGCCGAAGGATATTACAAAAATTGCATTTATATTTATTGTTTGACTATGATTTTAAAACATCTCCGAAACATAGTGCCTTTCGCGGCGAAAGAGCATTCAAACTTTTTTCTTTCAGAATGTATGCTCCAACTCTCCTTGTCAAAATAACGGAACGTGTCAATCAGGCTTCACCAAGAAAGGATATCGATGTTTGTGTCCCGATGGTTGGACAGGTGGAACATGTAAGATGGGTAAGGCTCAAACATAGAGTTCTTCACTAAACACTAAACCATAAAGTTTTCTTGACCTTTTTTCAGACAAGGAAATGTACAAAAAAGCGTGATTCACGTGCAAAGTTCGTTGTTTGGCTTTTTGCTGTTCTCGTAGCCGTCGCTTAAGCTCGCAGTTTTCATGTCGACATGAAAAGCTCTCCAGTATTGTATGAAACGCCTGTTCACACTGCACAAAAGAGTGGCATACAGAACCCTATCCGATATGTGACGATCCACTTTCGAGATCGGTGCGGCATTGCTTCACTCCTTTATTACAGATGTTGCACCGAAATCACCGTCCTCGCATGTGTGGAAAGAATATATCCAATATGGCTTTTGTGCCGGTTGCAAGAGCTATCGGCAGGGGAGCTGTCTTGTATAGCCTTAAACTCTCATTCACGATTTTATTCACTATCATAATCTAGATATTGATGAATGCGATGAAAGGAGTCACAAGTGTAGTAAGAATGCGACTTGTATAAACACGAAAGGATCTTACAGATGCAAGTGCAAACATGGTTTCCACGGTGACGGCTACAACTGCACAGGTATCCCAGTGTTTTATCTTTCTGCTTAAAATTTTAAACAGAATAACAACACACTTATTTTTTTTCGTTTGTCGAGTGTCTCAGAATTTTCTATGGCGAAGAATTGATGTTCATCACAATATGCTGTAATCTTCAGCAATGGGCAGAGCTGCTGTAAACGTTATTTTTTCATTAGATATTTTTTGTTCAGTTAAGCATAATTAGTCACAATCTGTTAAGGGAGCGGTCATTAACTATTGGGGGGGAGGGCCGTTATTATTTGAAAAGCAAGGGCCCAAAAAATTTTAGCCCCTCTCAGGTTAACAGCCCAAACATTGTAACCCTCCCCTGTAATAACATTTTGAGTATTCAAATGTTGCATCGTGAGAATCCATATGAGCGTAACTTTGAGACAATTTTTTCATTGGAATGAAAAAAAAGTGTTAGTATTCACAATATTTACAAAACCCAATTTTTTCTTTTTGTTAGTTCAATAACCACACAACAGTGCAATAACCACACCAGTAGTTCAATGACCACACATTAGTTCATTAGCTGCGGAAAAAATAGCCACAACTACGTTAGATATTTTTTAATTAGAATGTGTAGCATTAAGTAAGTGATAATCATTTAGCAACGATACAAGAACTAAATTTACAAATAGCTATTGTACATTGTTATAAAGTTTTAGTGAGCTCACTAATATAGACAGGAACCTGCAGGAACATAGATTGATGTTAATTAAGAAGTTCTAGTCTGCTCAGAAGGTCTGTCATTTTCATCACGGGCACAGTGAACAGACCTGGAAAGAGAGTAAGCGCTGAAAAGGGAAAGCTAACTCGGTCCGGAGAAAAATTCGGATACTAAATAAACCGAAAGAGCGCGCGTTGATAAAGCAGACAACATAACGGTTAGCGGTGGATGAAACCTTGTTTTAACTCTCTTTCCTCACGTTTCAAACTACTGGTGTGGTTATTGAACTAACAAAAAGAAAAACTTAATTGGTAAATAAATAGTGATGGCGGGGCCGATGATGATGATGCCACTGAAAAATGTCAGGAGGAGGAATCAGGAAGTGCCTTTGTTATTTACTAGGGCACTGCAATGGAAGCATACGACAGTAGCAGTTCAGATGACCCTGGCCCCTACTGGAACACATTCAAATGCGCTCCTTACTATCAGCCTATTGACTAATCGTTACATCTTCACTGTACATATGTATACTGTACATATAAAAATACTATGTTGCATTTGTTGAATAAGAAGAACATTCTGTTCCTGTTACTGTTTAAGACTGACTGAGTTTTGTAAAAGAAGGATTCGTATGAACTGGACCACTATGAGTTAAAAAAACAAATACAGATCGAGTACCAGTCATAACAAGAAAAAATACATTTTCAGTTATAATAACATATCATCAACTATCCGTGCACTCTTGATCGCGGCTCGTTTTAAGAAGGGCTTTCATGAAATTATCTGTCATTCAGATGTATTATAATACAGGAAAATCACATGACGATGACGTTGATTAAACACCAAAGCCAAACTAAAACCATGGGCTATTTTCAAAGCCATTTCAAAGTCAAGCAAATTGGAAGCGATTCCGCGTTAAGTCACTGCTCATCTCCAGCCAATCAGAGTGCTGTTTAACCGTGTGATTCAGCTTTGAGTATGTAATTCTGTTAATGTTACTTGCACGGCCATCGTATTTCAAGCAGTGCTTCATATTTCTGTAGCACAAAACCCATTTAATAGTACGCGCACATCGCCAAAGGTGCCCAGAAATTCTAACCCTCCCCTAAATGCGGGCCCAGAAAATTTTAGCCCTCCCTAAATGGGCGCCCGAAAAATCGCAGCTCTTCCCCAAAATTTACCAGCCCTCCCCCCAATAGTTAATGACCGCTACCTAACTAACGTTTTGCATGCGAAAAAGAAGGGAGTTGTGGGAGCTAAATTGAAAGAAAGACCGGTCTTCTAGCTTTCTTTCATTATAAGGCGGGGGGGGGGGGGGGGATCACAAGGGAGGAATAGGAGCCTTATTGGGACTAAAAGAATTGATGATATTAAAAAATAATTTTAGATACTGAGGAATGTAAAAAGCAAAAAAAAAGGTGTAGCAAAAATGCGACTTGAAGGAAACAAAACGGATCTACCAGATGCAATGGTCCCGCCCCCCCCCCAAAAATTAAATAACGCCACCAAAATAAATGTTTAGAAGGGAAAAAGAAGGGGAGTTTGGGAGAAAAAATGAAAAGAAGACCGGTTTTTCTTGTTTTTTTTATTAAAAGGGGGGGGGGGGGGAGGGATCACAAGGGAGGTATAGGAGACTTATTAGGACTAAAAGAATTGATGATATTACAAAATCATTCTAGATACTGACGAATGTCAAAAGCAAAACAACAGGTGTAGCAAAAATGCGACTTGCACGAACACAGACGGATCTTACAGATGCAACTGCAATACTGGCTTCTTTGGAGACGGATTCAAGTGCACAGGTATCACTGTGTTCTATCTATGGCGTAGATGGTCTAAAGAATTCAGATTCCTGAATCAACTGATTGCGAGCCAATTTTTTAAGGAAGGGAAAACACAGATGGAAAATAGGGCAACAGGGCAGCGCTCCTTTGCTTTCAGAGGAGCCAAACTTTGGAACTCCTTGAATGATAATATTAAGTCCATAAAATGCCCCAGGAATTTTAGGCGTCATATTGCAAATGTTTTATTAAGTTGATAAATTTTTTGTAATTATAATATTATTGTACTTACATTCTTAATTAATTTATATAAATCTGTATTTTTTATTCTATTGAGCTGAAAAGCCCACTTAGGGAGCATCAATAAAGTGTAAGTGTAAGTGTATAGCATGCCTTGTAAACGGATTTTAGGCAAACTATCAAATGAATAAAGTAGTTTTCGTATCGATTCATGGATGTACGTCATCGATATAAAGCCGTGTTTGAGGCGTCGTTTGAGGCCAAATAGTCTCATCGTAAATAATTTCCAATACCCTGAGCGGCGGAGAGCAACTGACGAGCCCATGTCGTTCCCAGGGTTCTCTCCTACCCGTCCCGGTAGGAGAGAGAACCCGGGAACAAGGTTGCTGACGAGCGACTATATTCGCAGGCTTAGCAAGAAGTCGTTGAAAGTTTTTTTTATATATATAGTTAATGATCTTCCAATGGTTTATTTCTGATCGGCCTCGAAGAACAAAAAAGCGTCAAGTACAATCGTATCATGGCTAACATAAACTCGCAGGATAACTTCATGACTTCGCTTAGGGTAATTTCATGCAAATTATTGTTTAAGCTCGCAATCATTTTACACTGTGAACTTTATCCTTTGTTCCCTCTAGTATGTTACACCATCTTTGATTTCGAAGACCACGATTTATCAAATTGGACGTTAAATGGGACTGCATTCAATAATCAGCCAACATACGGAGACAACCCATCAGAAAGGTTTAAAAAGGAAGAGAATGGAAGGAATGAACCGTCAAATCACCGAGGGGATTGGTGGATTGGTACCTTCGAAAATCGGTCCAGTTCTTCCCAGCCGGCAGGAGAAAAACAAGGTGATGAACCTCAAGGCTCAATGACGTCACCTGGTTTCTTAATTAATACAAACGTCCTCAGGTTCCTGATTGGAGCAGGCTGTAAAGATGTCCGCAAGGTTCGTGCTGAGCTTATAGTTAACGGAAATGTGATTTTTGAAACAAGGGCTGAAGAGGTATCTGCGAATTGCATCGAAACTATGTCTGACAAAAGCTGGAATGTGTCGCGATTCACTGGTAGCCGAGCTCAATTGCGTTTGATTGACCACTCTTCGGAAGGCTGGGGTCACATTAACTTTGATCATTTACAAGCTTGCCACAAACTACCTTAAAACAGTACAGAGGCTCCTCTGCAGAATTAATCTTAAAATCAGTAAACAGTTAAATGAAAAAAAACTGACCCAGCTCTGAAACCGTAAGTTTCTTAGCCATTTCCAATGACACTGGTCGCATTGCGTCGTCACGTTTGTTCTTTTCTATTCAAGTAATTTTTACCAGGACGTAGTAGACTCTGGTAAGAGAAAATGATTGGTATACCTTCAGAAATTCCGCTACCTCGAATTCTTTATTAATTTACAGATACGAATTAGCCTGCGAAGTGTTTGTTATAATAAAACTTGCAATTTTTCAGTTTAAAATTGTACCGTAAAATACTGAAAAATCATTGCAAGGACTTCTTTTAGATATTGTAAAATCGTATACCTATGTTGACACATCCACAGATAAATTTAGAAAGCTCCTATAACTGATTTAAATTTAGTTCGTAATTTTGTAATCTTGCATTACATTATTCTTCTCGTATTTTGATAGTTTTGTTTTAAGTTTCTTTTTTTTTTTCTGTCGTACTAAATGTGTACTTTACGTTTCCCTCGGGCCTGCTCTATAAGCTTAACTATCTGCGAGGCAGAGGACATTTAAATTTGTAATCGCATAAACGAATGCAAATGAATAAATGAACAAATAAACTTTAGGAATAGTGTAAGTGCTGGTACTGTATTTTCAATAACATAGTTGCCGTGGTGTTGAAGCATTATAAAAAGAAATAAAGAAACAATCAAACAGACAAGCAATGCAAAGAAACTTTCTTGGGAACTTAGTTAAAGTATGGTAGTAGGGTACTGTATTTTAAAGTGTATTGCTGTGGCCGTGCTTGAAGCACTAAAAGTAAACTGCGGATGATCTTCTTTTATATAATTCTTCACCCCACAGTTCTCATATATGATTTTCATATATTCGTAACTCATCATCATCCTTTCACGGGTAATTCACGGGTTTATAACGAAGCAATTCAACGACCTGCGCCCAGCGGGCTTCTTAGCTCATTTGGTAAGAGCGCTGCATCGGTATCGCAGAGGTCAAGGGTTCGAATCCTGTACAAGCCTGAATTTTTTCAAGCTTTCTTTTCGCAGCTGCAAAAGTTGGGTCTATAACTGCGATGATCTTCTTTCATGTAAAACTTATTTTTGTGGCGTTTCGCTGAAGCATTTGCCTGTTTGTTTTGTCCGGAAGGATCACCCTGTTTCCATAAATTTCTAGTCAATGCCCCAACCCCCAACCTCCTAATCTTTACATTGTGAATTTGTGCACACAACTTTATTTTCCAATTTTAAGCCAATGGAATTTGGGGAAAACTGTAGATTAAGCCCCTTTGATTATGGGCTCCCTGGACTTATTTCAAAATTTGGATTTCTTCTAAAGTTTAATACGTGTTAATCGTCGTCATCATCATTATCATCATCATCATCATCATCATCATTATCATCCGTATTGTCATTATCATCACCATCACCAACACTAAAGATTGCGAGGCCGGATGTGGTAGTTGCCTGTTTCGAAGGTCAGTGAAAGATCATACCAATACTGTAATCAGAGAGCTGGGCACAATCTCAATGTGAGAATCCACAAAGCTATCTTGCGGGCCAACTGGTCATTGACTGTAACGTCAGTGTTCGCCAGAAATCTGCGGAACATCACACATCTTGAAGAAAACGTTTTCATTTGAACTATAGATCAGCAACGGCAGATCATTGATATCAGGCCCACTGTGATAAATACTACTGCTCATAACATTGTCAATTCTGTCAATAACAAGCTCAAAAGATCTCTTTGATCATTAAACCTAAAAATCGTGTTCTCCCCATTTTTTCACCCGAGCTGTCTCTCTTTTTACATGGTGTGTCGAGCAAAACGCGCTGAAGAAAAAGAGAGACAACTTGCAGTCTAAGATTTGGTCGTTTTGTGCTCAAAAATGATTTTCTCAGAAAAATTGGTACTTTTCTCAAAGGGTTAGTGCGACATGATCCATTAGGTGTTGGATCTTTAAATCCTTTATGGCATGTGTGCTCTACACATAAGGCTTTCTGGTTTCTCTCTTAGTTCAGGGGCGGATCCAGGATTTTTTTTAGGAGGGGGTGCACTCGTCTCTTGCTCTACTTCAACACCAGTAAACTACATAGTTTTTTTTTTTTTGCAGAATACCAGTTGTATTAGAAAACCGCAGGTCATCTCGGGGGGGGGGGGATGTGCATTCCCTGCACCCTCCCCCTAGATCCGCCCCTGTAGTTCAACAACTTGATCATGGGATTCCTGTTAAAAGTGCGCTTTTCAGATTATGTTCTACAAACGGATCCAAAGAGTTTTCGGAATTTCCAAGGATGGCGGTGAACCAGACAATTAACGTGAAAAGTTGCCAATCAGTTCAAGAGGTTCGTCCTTCGAACTTACTTCATGAGTAAGACAGAGGTGTCATTATTGGAAGGAGAAAAGTTATGCCTCATTTGCCTTTTTCCAAGGACAAAAACCCCGAGCTTCAAAACTTTCGAAGTTCGCAGGGCGTTTGACCTCGTTTTTTAAATACCCCGTAAAACGTCTCTTTGCGGGTTCCAAACGTGGCAACAACGTTTTTCTTGTTCTTTTAGATCCTTTTAGATCTTTTAGATCCAAAACAAAGAAAAACGGTAAATTTCCTACCAAGAATACGGCTAGCTTAATCGATTTTTAAACGCAAATTTCCTCCGTACATAAGCCCCTCCACAAATAAGCCCCTCAAAAAGGGCCTTTGAAAAATATAAGCCCCGGGACTTATTTTCGGAATTTTACGGTATCTTGGTTTGTAACTTGTCTCCATACCAAAAGTCATATATAAAATGCAAAATAGTGATTTTTCCAGCCCTCTAGCCAGTCCATTTTTTGTGTTAGTTAAACACTTTTATCCCATTACGGGATCTTAAATTATAATTGAAACATTGCAAACATAAAGGCTTTTCGGACCAAAAAAAAAGTGGGGCCGTACGAGTAACATTTGCCTCTTAACCTTTCTTGTTTGCGTTGGTTTATTTTGTTTGATTCATGCTTGTTTATTTGCCTGGGCAAACAGATTAGTAATTTTACCAATTTTTGGCCCTTTGTTCAAATAACTTCACCTTGACCACACGTAGGTTTCGGAGCTGCATGTGAATTTGTAAAACTACAACAATTTGATCGCACGGTATGAATGGGTTGGCTTTCAAGAGTCTTTTCTTTTTCTTCCACTCTTTACACTCTTTTCCCTGTAAATTCACTTTGTGAACTTATATAAAGAAATCGTTCGCGTTATGACCTATTTACAAGTTGGCTTATAGGAACCTTGATTTATCCCTTTGCTTCTAATCAGATTTAATGGCCCACTCACCCTGCTAGCAGAGCATTTCCTTCCCTTGGTCTCGATTTTGCGTATTAGAGAAAGACTTTGCGTGAATCGAGTAAAATCGTTTTTTAGCAAGTGCCGCTTGTTGCTTGGATCCCGTTTTGAACCCAGGCGTAATAGCCGCGCGCTTGGTTCAGCGGGCTCAGTTATAACCATTGGATTATCAACAAACGGATGCTCACACTCGGAAAATAAGTTTGACCATATACAGAACAAGATTGACAGGTCCAGTAGCTGAAGCTGGGCGATTTCAAAGGTTTGACACAATTCAGACAGAGCCTCCTTGTTCTCTTTCTCACTCAAGAAGACCGAAGAGACTCCTCTTGCAGGGTGTGGCCCACTTTGAAAGAAGAGTTTTGTTTTCAGAAAGATATTACGACACAAAAGAATCGCAAATATTAAAATAGCTCGAAAATATCGGAAGGTATCAATCAGGTAATACCACCACTGCACTGAATTGACTGCTACCCATACAACAGTTATTTGAATTATCTAAAAGTATTCTAAAAATAAGAGGCGACAGTTTCCGCGTGATATCGCCTGTATTCTCACGCTTACAATCTCTATGAATTGCCGGCGACATAAATATTTATGAAATAACCCACTTTATACATGTATTACAGAGCAGTGGCACGGAAAATAGGGAACCATCTTTTACACCGAAGATTTGTAAGCTATATTATATTGGAATGGAGTCCTGGAGAATTTTTTTTTGGTTATGTTTCTGTCTTTTTACAAGAGAAGCTCTTAAGGCCCGAGTCCAGTCCCCAAAGCAGACTATCCGGATATTGCAGTTCCAATGCCTCTTTGACTTGAAGTCCATGCTGCTGATCCCGAACTTCCACTACAACTTTGATCTGTCACAACAAAGAAATACAAGTTTTAAAGTGTTAAATTGCACTCAAAAGAGGGAATAAACACAGATAAGACTGTAACCACTCACCTGTACGCTAAACACACTCGACATAAGCCACGCCCGTTCATGAAAAATATCTTTTACGCTAAAATTAAATTGAGAGAATAAGAACACTTCGTTGTTGTTGAAATAAAAAGACACAAAACAGAGATAACCAGACAACTTTTCTTGAAATAAAAGAGACAAATGACGAAAAAAGATTTTAAAAACAGTCGATCATACGGTAACAATTGTTGATCGAAAACCGGGAGGTTGGAAGGAAGGAGTGGGGGAGGGGGTCGGAGAACGGTGAAAAATGATACCGGAAAAGGTTAATCGGCATATTGTTGGCGAGATCGTTGGTGACGTAAGAAATGCGCAAGTTTTTTTTCTTCCAAACTAGGTTCTGATAACTACAAGCAAAAAATTAAAAGAAATCAAAATGTATGATATGTAATCTACTTGCATTCTACCAGCACTAGCTTCGTTTTTCCAACCGTCAAAAAACCGAAACCCAACGAAAACTCTGGTTGTCTCCTCCGAGTAGGAGGATTTCTTTCATACACAAAAAAACTCACAACAAATATTAATTATTCTCTCTTCCCAGCATTCCCCTCGCGCTTTCCCCTCTCCCTTGCCCGCACGTTTTAGAGCCAATTGAGACACAAACGCAAACGGCCATCCTAATTCCTGAGGTCTCTCTGAGGCAAAGGAACTTCAGAAAAAAAAGCCATGCTAGGAAGGAAGTTAGAAAGAGGCTTCTACGGGAGACTACGGTGAACCAATCCGAAGTGAGGTAAAAACAGGCAGCTGACGCAAAGCGCGGGAAACTGTCTAGATGGGGAGGTTATAATTTTTGACTTGACGCAAAAAATTCAGCCGATCACAAACACGGTAAAGTATTAAAGAAACCAGTTTTCAGAAAATCGCTTAATAAGTTAGGTTACCTTGCTCCCATTGAAGCCAACAGCCTTGTTAGTTCTGCAATTCCTCCTGGTCTATCACTAACGGTGACGATAAATCTACAGAGCCTTCCATCGGCGGCTAAACCACGATCGATACAGCGACCCAGCACTGTGGAGTCGATATTCCCTCCACACAATGGTATAACTACCCTAGGAAAGACGTTTTATTTAATATCAGATGAATAACTTGTCACTCTAAGGCACCCTTAAATTCTCATTAATGGTTTCCAAAAATGTGTTGGCAAATACGGATTTTTGCAAAGTGACCTTTCATTGGCTGTAACAGTATTCACACTAGAGACGGATAATCCATCTTCAAGATCCATCAAAATTTAGGGTTCATACAAAAAAAAGCAACCATTTTTCAAGGACTTTTCAAGGGCCACATTAGATTTTCAAGGACCACCTACTAGGAATATAACTTCACAGATTGTACAAAAATGCACATTCCCAGTTTATTCTAATAAGACTTTAAGGCATGAACTGTTTGCTACACCAACTTCTCTACATTCTTCAGTTCATTGGTCTTGAATTGATAGTTAATTGGCATAAAAAATAGAGCACTTTATGTAAATAACCTTTAAATACTCTGAGCTACGATTTATATTCTGTCTTGGACAACCAAAAACCATCAAAAAACTCTTCCCAGGCCACTACAATCAAAGTTGAAGAAAATTCAAGGACTTTTCAAGGAAAAATGGAATCCAAGCACTTTTCAAGACTGTGCGAGCACTGAAATTAACAGGCAGATTGTCCATCCAAAGTTAAGACTGTTCCATTTTCAAATTCTCTAAGATGTATTATCTGTCTGACGCGAATTATCCAATGGATAACCAGTCTCAGTCGGATAATCAGTCTCTAGTGTGAATACGGCCATTAAGTTAAGATGGAAAACAGGAAGTAAAAGTGTTGCTTCAGCTGACAAAAGTGTTTACGTAGTTATTTTCAGTAGCAATCTTTCATACCACCATAAAACGATTTTTCCCTGCGACCTTAAACTTAGCTTGAGGTTTGATTTACCAACTCTCTAACAACAACTGGCCAAAGTAAAAAGATTTATTTCAAATTGGACGCTTTAGTCCCTAGATCTTTTGTCAGGTCGAAGCCGTTAGAGCGCTTTGACGAGGGTCTAGCACCCAAAACATTACCACTTATCCTATAACCCTAAAGTGATCATACTATTTTTCTATGTGCCACACCTAAACCAACACAGGGATAATAAGGTAAAACCAAAAGCCAATTTACAAACAATCTTAAATACAGGCAATATCGCTCGCGACGCTTATTTACGGTCTAAGATAAAGCCTGAAATACTCCAGAAAAAAATAAGATCTTGGACGGGATATGAAATTACGGTTTATGTTGTTTGAGAAATCAGTGATATATCCCTCTAATGCAAAACAGTGAATCGCGAGTATTAGTTTTGACACTATACCGCTCGTGTTTAGCAATAAACCAGTTGTAGCTCTAACTTTAGAACAACGCTGTCATTAATTAATGCACCCACATTACTGCCAGGATCCTTTATCGTTTTAATTTCGGAAACTCATTACACGACCTCTCGTACATTTACCGTAATATCATTCATCCACCTACTTTTTAGCCTGTAGCTCGGGCAACATTCCAGCCAGAACAGCAGCAAAGGCAGTCACTCCGGCACCTTCAACAACTGCTTTCTCTTCCTCAATCAAACGCAAAATGGCAAGGGCAATGAAGTCTTCACTGAAATAACAAGGTTAATTTCGGTTTTTTACGAAAGAGACTCATGGCTTTCTCGAGAACAACAGGTTCATAGAGTTCTAACAAAAAACAATAACCACTCATAATTTGTTACGCTGACAACTCCGAATCTAATACCTTATTTACCGACTTTATATACTGAGTTCTCTCAGTGCTGGACACGCCCGCACCAGTGTCGTTTCTACTTAGGCATCTGTACATGCGAAGAACCAAACTGTTTGCAGGGCGGAAAAACCACAAGGTTTGTAGTACAAATCTCTGGCAGTCACCACCCCTAGTGTGCTGCCTTTAGAATTACCTCGGGTAGGTGTAAGGTACAGCGGTTTGCCATGGCTCACATCCGGGAGTTGTATCCAGGCCTCAGTGGCCAACAGGCGGATAACGCTATTCACCGGAGGTAAAAGTCTACTTCCAGTGGATAGCGCAAACGGTTTCACTATTTTTTTCCCTGGTGATTAATCCGGCGGAAAGCGCTATCCATATTCTTAAGAACTGAGGCGGCCAGGACTGATTAAAGTAAGTGAGCGCGCGAAAAGTGTTGTTAATGAGTGTAAGGGTGGCCTTGATGAATTAAAAAGCGTGGCGGTTTCCGATACTACTTAACAATTATTCTTTGAATCGAGGTGAATAGTGGCTACTTATTTACCGAGCCGGGAAGCGGCGAGGTAAATATTCCTAAAGCCACTATTCCCTGAGATTGAAAAGAATAATTGTTTTAGTATACACACGAAGTGATCTCAAAAAATCAGAGAGAAAACCATTAAAAAGTACGATTTGATTGACGGATTAAATCACGCGAAAGTTTAAAAACTGTAGATCTTTGCAGAATTTTCAAACCGGCATGGCAATTTACAAGTTTATAACTTCGCAAAAAACAGCGTAATGGCTTAAATGGAACCGTTAAAAGTTTGAATTGTTTCCTTAACTGAGAAGACAAGTAGAGCTTGGTTGTTTTCTTTTGACTCACCAAGTTTATAGGCAAAAAGGTTTGTTGTGTCGTTCTTCGCGTGAAGTGCTGACAAACATGGCGGCACGGTTGCTCGAGGTAAGGCGTCGTCTTCTTGTAGCATTCTTTTTCCTATTTAGTTGAAACGTAGAATTTCTGCAAACATTTGCTTTCAAATTTGTTTGTCATAAATGTACTTCGATTTTTGGGCCAAATTTTTCTTGTTAGGAAACGCTGAGTTCACAAAACGGTCTCTTCTACGCGAATAAACGGGAGTTGTAAACAATCCATCGAACGCAAAAACTCGGCCACAGTAGATGGAAAAACGCCGTTTTGAATCCTTCGAAGTCTTTAATTGCCTTAAAAAAAGTCAGCCCTAGGGTTTTGCCGACTTGTAAAAGATGGGAAAAACACCGAGCTCACACATTATCCACTCGCTTGGAGGTGAATACTTAACAATTATTCCTCGAGCCCGAATGGGCTCTGAGTCAATAGCCCATGAGGCCGAAGGCTGGTCAAAAATATCGAGACAAAACAACTTTAGCTGCTTAAAGCTAGACTTTAATCCTTTTTTTGCCGCCAAAAAGCCGGAGCTTTCGCTACTACCTGTAGTGGGCTATAACATATAGCCTAGTAGTAGCTCAACCAATCAGAACGCAGCATTGATAATAGACCACTAGTTGGATTTTACTAATGTTGAATAGTCCGAGATAGCGAACCAATCAGATTGCTTAAATCACCAAGATCACTGAGTATGTATATACTAAATTGGGTTATCCGTCTGTAAAAGGATAACCTCTTCTTTACAGGAGCTACCATGGTTGCTTGTAAGCAGAGTATCAAAGAGTATGTAAGTTGGTGTTCCTGTGAATCTTACCTAACACTTATTACTTTATCAACAATCGCTGTGGCAGTTGCAAAGGCGTTGGAGCCAACCTTGGATACACACAGCCCTGCAGGGGACATGTAAGGAAAAAAGTCACAATAGGGTATAAAACGTTTTAAATCTGTGACGCAATAAACTAAAATAGAAACCAAATTGTAGGGCTGTGCTTTAGCAGTGCCCAACGGCCCATGGTGTATTAACTAGTTTTGCTCTTGGGCGACTAGGAAATCTTAGTTTTTCATAAAAATCCTATGCTGGGCTGCACCTTGGATTTTACAAGTTCAGAGCACCGGGCTCCCTTCAATTGTTCCTAGAGTACAGCGTTAAATAGGATTTCATAACTACAGAAGGAAACAAAAGAAACACAAAAAAGCTAATAAAAATAGACTTTATAACCATAATGGACTTTATAACCATAACCAGTGCCCACCTTGTTAAGTTTTTGCTATTTGCGGGCATCTAACACTGATCAATAGCAAAGAAAATCAATCCGCGAATTTCAATTTCACCACTTCTTTCGTGGCAGTAGAAATTATATGAAAGAGCTCAGCATTGTGTTCTACCCAGAGTGGTTCTGATTCATTATCACGTTTTCTAGATCGCGAAGCGGTGCCTGCTTCCAGCGGTTTGAGCTGGTTTGGATAAAGTATATACGTGACATTTTTTAAAAAATAATAAATGAGAAGAAGGAAATTTGCTCAGATGTCCTAGGTTCACGCATAAATTATACATTTTTGTAGTAATTCCAAAATATCTCAAAATTTCCTGCATTGAATTTTGTGAAACTTCTCTTAGTAGACGCCGGCCAATGTATACGTAGGGTTAAGCATTTCCAGAGAACTTACGGGCAAGGGCTAAAATTCAACACAGAGCTGAAACAAGACGTCCTTGTCGAGCGATCGATATGTATTCTAATCTCAAAATATTGGACAGACTCTGTGTAATCGACGTAAAACAAAGATGAAGCCGTTAGGTATAAGAGGTTCAAAGGTTGGAGGCTGCCTACCAAAATACTGGTCGAACCAGTCGAAGCACTTTAAAACTGAGGGCGTGTCATTCAAATGAAACCTTCTTGCTATCTCTTTTTTAGCATTTTACGATTTTGCATCAGCTTGCAACTCTTACAAATCTATCTTAGGAGTAGAAGAGGTCATTTTAAAAGATCTATACAGTAAGGACAGAGCCTTACCATCGGCTAATGTCAGAGACTGATTGGCTTCTATTTTAACTGGACGACCAGCAGCCATTGCTGCCTGAAAGCTGGCGCAGCGTTCTGATTCAACTCCCTGTAGAGAAACAGACACGATTAATACTGGTAACTAAACGACGCTTAAATGTAATATGCAGGAAAATCCCCCTTACTAGGACTCATCCTGATCCTGGACGAGGGCTACCCCACACGGCAATTCTGTTCAAGTTTGTTTGCAATAAAAGGGGATGTCGGCGCATTGAGCTTTGTAAATGCGTCATATAAGAATGTATTTATTACTCTTATTATTATTATTATTATTATTATTATTATTATTATTATTATTAGGAAGGGAGGTTGTGTAGCTCAGAGACATGATACAATCCGAGATCTTCTGACATCACACATCAGTAAAGTGTGCAGAAATGTAGAGACAGAGCCACTCCTGCAACCACTCGACAATGAAGTATTCAACCTTCAGTCCACTGTTACAAGTCGAGAAGCGAGGCTGGATATGAGGGCAGGAGGTTTTTGGACACCAGGAGTAACGGCATTCTTTGACGTACGTGTAACGCATGTTAACTCCCGGTCCAACCAGGGCAAGTACACAGCTACGATCTTCAAAGAGCAAGAAAACGAGAAGAAAAAGAAATACAACCAGAGAGTGATGGATGTAGAAATGGGAACCTTTACACCACTGGTGTTTGGTACAAACGGGGGCATAGGGACTCGATTGTCAGAACTTTTTAAGAACTCTCGGAAATAAGCTTTCGACTAAGAACGATGAATCCTACGCCAGCGTTATTTCCTGGCTTCGAATACAGCTCTCATTTGCTATATTAAGAACTGTACACAGATGCATCAGAGGTTCGTCAGAGGTCTCAGAAGACTTCACTTTCGCCGTAGCTGGTCTACATCTGCACTCATAATTTTAGGCCTAGATTTTTGATAGTTTTTTTCTTAGTGATGGTTTGCGTTCTTGTATAAATAGCACCTCGTAGACAACGCATTCGAAATTGTTTCTGCTTTTTTTTTAGAATATTTTATTTAAGAACATTCTTAGAATTTTGCCTTCAGGCCGAATGATCTATGAATTACTGCAAACTTTTCTGAACCCTGTTCAGCTATAACGAGAAAATTTATTGAGGGTTCTTCTTACGATTATTTGAACATCAGGACGTAATCCTTTGACTGCCACAGCCACACCAGCCAATAAGCCTCCACCGCCCACAGGGATCACAACCGCATCCAAATCAGGTACCTCTTCGACAATCTCCAGACCCAACGTACCCTGGCCAGAAAGGATGTTAGGATGATCGTACCTTAAAAAGAAAAATAGAACCACCTAAAAACTGCATCTTACAGAAACGGCTTCGCCTTTTAACATTCCCAAACTAAGACAAAACAAAGGAAATAGGCCATTTTCTATCCTAAGACCAGGCTATACAGTGAGGGAAAAGGCAGCTCAAGCCGATTTTTCTACCTTTTCCCCCAATACGGATGAGCCTGGTCCCAGGCTAGCTATTTTCGAGTTGCCTTAAGCCTCTGTTTCGAAGTGAGGCTAATGTAAAACAACAAGGGCTTTGCACTTGGCCTCGTTCTGAAAGAGAGAGTTATTTTCGAATTTGAAAATGGTCTTATAGACTTTACACTACGTACCGTGATGGTGGTTGTGACATCAGATACTAATTACTAAATTGCGAACTTCAGCTTTCAATTTCTTCAACAACAATTGCTCATTTGAGAAGCTACAATGGACGACAAAAGAACTTGGGACTGTGTGAAAAAGCCCTTCCAAGCAATCGTTACGTAGGACCCTGCTCCTAAGGACAATTTTTTGTTCGGCTTTTGGTTCATCCCGTCGTCCCCCCACTTCCCCTAGCAATGTTGTGGCCAAAAAAAGCACTCATTTTCACACATTTTGGTCCAAATTCAATTTTGTTGGAGGAGGGGCCGCTAGTTTTAGTAATATCACTGGAAAGGTCTCAGCACTTTTGACCTCCATTGTACATTAAACAAACACTCCTCTAAGTGTTTCATCCGACATCCAGACACTTTAAAGTCGGTCTTAACATACTCTGCTGCGTCTCATTTTTTCAACCCACTTCTCTGCGTTTAGATATAGAATAAAATACACTGTGTGTCGCGTTTGATGTACATTAAGTTTCGTCGCATTATGGTCGCCCCGGCACTAGTTACCATATCAGATATACACAGGTGAAAAACTTCATCTTAACTCCAGACCATGGCTGGCAGTTACGAACGACGTAGCTTAGGTTTTGAGCAACGGGCCCCTGAGGAGATCACGGCAGTAATGAAACGAGAACATAATCGTTTAACTGTTCAATTATTAAACTCACCCATTGATATATGCTAATCCATTCGCCTTCGCCATCTTCAGAGCAATTTCTTTTGACTGTAAACGCAGACAGAGCAATTCATTTACAGCTTACGTTAATAGGAGACGTCGCATTGCACGTTAAAAGTCTTTTATGTGTTTCAATTTTAAAGACAAAATATTGATATAAAATTCCAACAGGCCAATGCAACGGCTATCAAGTAGACTGTCCAGGCGTTAAGATAAAGGGAAGGGTGCAAAGAAAAGTCAGCAGGAAAGAACAACTACTCTCTACTATCTGAACGCCTGGAACAGGCTAACTACCAGGACAGGGGGGCCCCCCTGCTACCAGGGTATGTTGGAAATGAATCTATCCAAAATTAACTAGTTTCCTGCGTGAACGCTCAGTAGTCATTAACAGGGCTACTGTTCACACTACACCAGATGGCTTGTAGTGACGACACGAAAAGCTATCCGTCATAGTGTGAACGCCTATCCGATGTGTGATTCACTCTCCACTTTGGAGATCGGCACGGAGCAGTTTCGCTCCGTTACAGAAATCGCGCCGAAATCACCGTTCTTATGTATGAACAAAAGCCCAATCCGGTGTGGTTTTCGTGCCGGCGCAAAAGCTGTCCGGTATTGGATGAACATTGTCATAGTTTAACTGAGTGCTCTGTTATATGACCCACGTTAGCCTGAAAAAACAGCCGACATTTGGCGACGCTACCACTGGTTTCCCCGCCAAATGACATCTGAGAAACGAGCGCAGAAATTCCATACTGATGACGCGTCACTACCCAGATCTGGGTAGGAAAATTCCCGCTATTAAACATCCGAGTGGTCGCTTACGGGAGAGTTTTTGAAGCAGTGTTTGATTGAGAAACAAAACGGTTATTTACAAAATGGTCGCTTAAGAGAAGCGGCGCTATAAGAGAGTTGATTGTAATTTAAATAGGGCCTAAGTTGGAAGGTCTTATGTATTTTTACGAAATTTGAACGGTGAAACCTTGTTATCTTCTCAAGCGTAATAGTTCAAGTAAAATTCCTGGAAACAACTCTTGAATTTTGAAAAGTGACAACATAACATACGTGGTCATGTACCGTTGATGTCTCTTTACATTTCTAATGTGCTCCAAATTTGCATAGCCACTTCCTTTTATTGAAGCCGTATTTTTTTCAATTTTATGCAGGATGATAGCATATACTTCTTATCGAACTCATCGGCGTCGACAACTATTCGGTTCTTTATACCTCAATAAGATCTGCACCATTCACGTGGACAGTAGCACCATGTTTCCTGCATGCTGAAATCTTCATGATAGGTGCGTTCAGTGGCATTACAACAGTCACAGGAACCCCAAGGTCCTTTCCATGATATGATAATGCTAAGGCGTGGTTCCCAGCCGAAGCTGCTATTACTCCTTTCGTCTTTTGCTCCTGAAAAAAAAACGCTGCTGTAAAGTAACAGAAAAGCAGGACTTTCTGACATTGTGCATCGGCAATAGTAAAAATATTGTTAAGCTAGAGGTTGGAATGAGTACAGTAAGTTTAAGTCTTAAGGTGATGTTACACGGGAAGATGCGTAGTGACGATTTTTAGCGCAACACCGGGTTCAAATGTTGGAACAATATTGCAGCCATTCAAAACAATGTAACAACAATGTTGTAACGCCGTGTTGTTAAAAATCGTTGTTGCGAATCGTCCCCTGTAACATCACCTTTAGTGGAAAACTAGGAGGTGGGAGTTCCAGTGAAGTGCGGGAAGAAGGAGAAACAGGGGTAAATTATGCAATAGTGCTTAATATTTCGCAGAATAAATTGGGCTAAAGGGAGAGAGCCAAGAAAAAAGGGGGCGGGAGCCGTAAATGCAAGGTGTAGGAGGTCGGGAAGTTTGGACCCTAAGTCCCCCACTGTTAACCTGTCACTGGGTATAATACCTTCTGGCTGGAGATTACCACTGCCCAGAAAGCGCTGTTAACTTTATATGGAAAAGTTTCAAATTGGTCATGAAAGGGTCTCAATAAACAATGTCATGTGTGCCAAGATAAATTTATACAATGCCAGCTTTCCACGTGACCGGTATCAGCAGGTATCCATGTTAAAACCGAGTGTCATTGTATTTTTTCCCTGGGGATAATAATAAGCAAGAGAAATGCACAAGCTCCACAAGCACACCTTCAAAGAAATTGCTTCCCATGAGGAAAAGAAACATGAAGTTGGCAATCTTTACATGGTTTCCCAATCCTCTCATTCTTTTTATCCTTGAGGAAAATACAGGTGTAAGAATTCATCCATTGTCTATGAGGAAACAGACATGGAAAAATACATTTCCACTTACACCTACTTTAGACAACATGAGCAGTGTGTTCCTAGCACCTCTTTCTTTGAAGCTAAAATGAATAAATCACATAAAAAGGATATATCAGAAAATTGAAAAGAACAGATCACAAATTCTCGCCAGTTACAGTATTAAATCTATTTATTCATGGAACTTTTGCGAGAAAACACTTTTTAGTAGCCTGCAGCCTACAGTACAGTGCAGATCATACAGTGTTTCTCCATTTTCCTTACTTCATAAAACCACCAACCGTCAATGATATTGTCATGGTCATTGTAATTATCATCATCTTTTAAAGCAATCACATGACATCTTGATCAAAGAAATCAAATGATAAAATTATTTAAGCAATAGACCAAACTTTCTATGGGTTTACCGGCATGGTAACCAACGCGGGATGTTGGGAGAACACGTGAAAAGCTTGTAAATCATGAGCCGAAGTGGTAAACCCATAGAAAGTGTAGTTTAATGCTTTAAAAAATAACTTTAAAGCATGTTTCAGTTTTCTATGAGTTTACCCGCACGATGAACCATAGGTTTTTAACCAATCAGAACGCGCATACTATCTTAGTTATTTTATAAAGTAAGTTAGTCACTGTGCCTACACAAATCCAAATGTACAAAATTGCTCTGTTTATCAACAGCATATTTACAACGCATGCAATTACACAATACCACAGCCAATTGCAGCTCCTAGAACACTTTAATTTTGGCTAAATGCGTTTGTACCATAATAGATTGTGTATAATTTAAAGTATTGTTTTAGAGCATATTTAAAGCAGATAGTGTTGCTGGATTAAGTGACGTAAAATAGGGACTGAATCAGTGGTACGAAGAATTAAATTTTCTGGTCCAATATAGTCTGATATTACGATAATTATTAAGAAAGGGATTTTTTCAAAAAGCAAAACGTGATTTGGTATAGGCTTCAATGGTTAAGGGTTTCACAGTCTGAATGACATACCCAGTTATGGGTCAGGAGGAAAGTGGATTAAAAATATCAATATTAAGTATACTATTAACGTATATGTTGTTGTTAATTTTTTATCTCAGGTAATTTTTTCTTTTTTTTGTTTTTTTTTTGTTGTTGTTGTTTCAACTTCACTAGCATACATTACCATACCCAAAAACAAAAAGAAAAAGAAAAATTACCTGCCATAATATTTACTACAACATATACAAATTATGTAATGAATGCATGCAGACCTTCCAGTATGTTGAAGGTATTCCTTCTTGAAGTACAAATCCATATTTAGAGTCTCTGACATGCTGGATCTCTGAAAAGAAAGCAAAACTGATTAGTGCACAGTGCATGTTTTAGGTGGTTTCTCCAGTTTGCCACGGAGAAAGTGAACCTTAGTCAATGAGGGTCAGCATTAAAAAACTGTAGGAAAGATGATACACTCATTTCAATGTTCAGTAATTACATAGCCTTCAAAAGAACCAAAAATCAATTTTGTTAAAAAATTGAGTCACACTTTAAAACCCTTGGTGGTATTGGCATTCTGAAGTTCTAAACATCAAGATAATAATAATTATATCTTGAAATTAATTGTTAATGTCAAGAACTTCTCGATACAAAGTGACACTAGCCGATGACAATTGCCCTCTATATCCATAATCATCATACTGTATGTTTCACGGTTTTTAATCCTCCAATTCTGAACTCCTTGAGAAGTAACAAATCTGATTCAGTTTGACTATTTTCCAGGGGTGTTTGTGGTTTCTTTATAAACTTCATTCAAAGGAATTTTCAGAAAAGGCAAGATATTAGCACACACTTCACACTTCCCCTTAGTTATACATTACTTTGCTGAGTGGACTGGCCAGGGGTGTATATCTAACAAGACTTTAATTTATTTAGTTGATCTCTTGTCCAAGTAGCTGTGTTTATCGGCCAGTTTATTAAGGAATGCCCTTTTTCTGTAGGAAATTTGGCATGGGATTTTATGGGAGTTTTTGTTCCTGGGATTTGGGGAGGTTTTGTTGGAAGCCCTGGGCCGGGCTGTTCAAAGCAGGGTTAAGTTAACCCAGGGTTAGTGCTAAATTTGATTTCAGATATGAAAGCTTAAAAGGCAAATTCAGTTTTATTCTAAGACTTCTTGCCTACAATTTGATGATTGGATGCTCTAAAAAGAAGAGAGAAAATTAAGTCTGGGGAGGGTAAACAAAGTGATGACACAAATAAAAATGTCTGCATAGGAGACTACTTCTCCCCCACCACAAATATTGTTACTCCTTCACCAGACTAAACTGAATCCGTGTATGGAATTCAAGAAAATTTGAAGAGGTGTATAATATGAGATTAACCCATAAGCCTGATAATATAAACTGAGAGCAGTTAAATTGTTCATTTAAGGTTCCTAGAGTTTATTAAGACCTCTGGTAAAATTCATCTTCAAAAATTAGGGGTGGTCCCCAGGGTTAGTCCATGGGCCGGGTCCTAGAAGGGGTCCATGGATAGGGGGTCCATGTTTTGTATAGGTCCTCATTGATGCAACCTGACCTTATTATTATGACCAGGATTTTATGGTACAAAGGTGGTCACATTAACTCGGATGTAGCTAAGGAAAAGTCAGGCCGGCTGTTTTACTCAACTGCATCTTCAAAATTACCCCTTGTCTTTGTTTTTTAGAGCAATTTGATCTGGTAGTAAGCTCTTTTTCAGCCGATGAAATTAGCCGGCAGCCGGCTCTGTTTCACGACACTTTACCCATCACCCACAACCCATAACTATTATTTTATTAGCCCCCCACCCCCACTCCCCTCCAAATGGGTTCCTATTCATTTAACTCGTACGAAACGTTTGTTTGTTTTGTTTTTAACATACTGTGACGTCTATGTATGGAACGTGGCAAATATTCATTGTTATTAGTAATGCTCTTACAACATTAAAAATAACACGTTTTTACCCAAATCGTAAACTTTCGGATCTGCCAAAAGGGTAGTCACTAAATACAACGGAAATTTATGTTATTATAATCAGGCAGATTATAATGTTTATTCACGGGGCGTAAATATGAGCTACCGGAGAACGCTTCCGTCCGACGTTACAAACACTCCCTAACAACATTCAGCCTTGATGTTGTAAAATTATAGCTAGTTTTCTACAGATATTTACCTCACACGGTGTTTTTTTAATTCCTTTTCGAATCCTATACGCTGCAGCACTGACATCTTCAAACCCGACCAAGATGGGTTCGTCTGATTCGCCGGTCACTGGGTTTAAAAGTGCCAACTTGTTTACTAAGCCAGAACCCACTCGAACCAAGTTCGAAGGTGACGAGGGCTTCTTTTGCTCTTTATCTGTCATGGAGGCTATTTTCTTACCGAAACAGGATTGTGAAAATATCTTATCTAACACATACTTAATCAAATATCTTATTATTTGCATAAAGTTTTTGTGTATAATGCAAAATCCACTCAGGCGCGACAGAGAAGTGCGACGCGCTGAGGGCGCGACGCTCTCCGGATTTGGCACAATAGGGAGCGGGACTGGGACGGGGGAGAATGGTGGGAAGCGGTGGAAATGGGGAAAGTACACAACAATGCTTTATATTTCACAATCGAAAGAGGGCTGAAGGAATGAAGCCAAGAAAAAATAAAGGGCCAGGAGCTAGAAATGCTTAAGTTACCAGGGTGATGGGCTCCTGTAGGTACCCTGACATGGAGCTTGGACCCCATGTCCAACCCACCTTAAAGAGGGTGTGTCATCAAAATATTTTTTCTTAAAATTTTCGTTGTGGTTTTAATAGAAGTCAGTCATGTCAGACTTCGTTTTAAAGTTCCCCCTTAAAATATCATTTGTACAAGGAGGCTGGGCATTTCTTACCTCTGAGGGAGGGTGGGGATTGATGTGGCGGCGGCCGGCAGCCATTGTGCTTGAGGGATCATTTTCAAAATCTTGATTGTTTTTGGGGGGGGGGGTGTCATTTTCAAATTAGGGAGCGATACCTGAAGGGTCATTTTTATTCAATAAATTTCATGAAAGTAGTACAAAGTATTAAAGAGTGTGAATTGAAATTGAATGCAACATTGTCTGTAAATAGTAAACACTGATCTGATAAACATGATTGTAGATAAAGTATGTGGTGAACTTCGGCATGATTTATATGTTTTATTTTTTGTTTGTGTTTTTAGATAAATTTTGTGTTGTACACATTTGTTTTAATGTTTCCCCTTTAAATCTATTTTTTGACAGGGGGGGGGGGTTTTCTTATCGCTGGGGGGGGGGGGGGGTTGTGGTGGGGGGGGCGGGGGGGCTTTGTGCTTGGGGGTTTTTTTTAAAAATTTTTTTTTTTTTTGGGGGGGGGGGGGTCATTTTCAAATTAGGGAGCGATACCTGAAGGGTCATTTTTATTTAATAAATTTCATGAAAGTAGTACAAAGTACTAAAGAGTGTGAATTGAAATTGAATGCAACATTGTCTGTAAATAGTAAACACTGATCTGATAAACATGATTGTAGATAAAGTATGTGGTGAACTTCGGCATGATTTATATGCTGCAGAACAGGTGTAATTTTTTTGCATTTTACAAGTGAGAGAAGGCAAGCCCTGAAAAATTAAGGCCAAAAAAATAATAATAACACTATCTTATTCTGCAAGCTGCACAATTTGTAGCTAGTAGTTTTGATTTGTGGCTAATAGTTTTTTATTTGCACTAGCAGTTTCCAGTGGCATGGGGGGGGGGGTCACTTTCACAATAACATTTATTAGGAGGATCATTTCTAAAAAATTTAAGCAAGGGTGATTGGAGAGTTGGTTTAAAAATCTTCTTAGCTTTCTCAAAATGGCTGCACCACCCCCTCCACCCCCCCAAAGGAATATCATTTTTCAAAAAAACAAGCAGTATCTTCAAAGTTTTAGATCACAGCATTCTGTAGAGAACTGATGTTGAATTTGGGAGGTCCCGTGATGGACAGTGTAATAAAAATTAACTCAAAAGATCACATAAAGGGGAAAACATCCCAATTTTTCCCAAGTTGGATGAACTTGGATATGCAAAATACAGAAGAACCCTTGTAACTTGAACTTTGAAGGGAAATAGGTAATGCAGGGGCGGATCCAGGATTTTTTTTAGGAGGGGGTGCACTCGTCTCTTGCTCTACTTCAACACCAATAAACCACATAGTTTTTGCAGAATACCAGTTGTATTAGAAAACCGCAGGTCATCTCAGGGGGGGGGGGTGCGCACCCCCTGCACCCTCCCCCTAGATCCGCCCCTGTAATGTAAGATCTTAAGCAGAAACATAACTTTAGTATGAAACAAACAAACAGCAAGAGCAGCATTACTGGTCCACAATCACTAGTCACCTTCATATCTCAGACTGTACTTTTCTTCAACACGTTTTTGAAATGAAGCCAAAGGTTAACTAAGTGTTTCAAGAACTTGATGGCTGCTTAACAGAGGTGATAACAATAAGAGAACTCTCAGCTGGATGGCCAAATGGTCATAGGTTGCAGTGGCTTGATAGAAGTGACCATTTAATAGAGGCTTAATTTACAATTCTTTCCTAAATTCATTACGGCATGGCACTTGCAGGTACACTCAGACGACCATATACATTTTAATGTAAAAATTAATATTGCTCATTCATGTAGCATCTTGATTGTCCTCACACTTTCTCAGCTCCTTCTCAAGTAATTCCTCATTCACTCTGTGCTTCATCAAAAATGTTCCATTTAAGTGAAACACTGGAATTTCATATTTATACTTTGAGAACCATGCTTCATTGCCCTTTTCTGTGATATCCACTTGCTCAAAATGAAACTGAAAACAAAAAAACAGTGACCAGTTTTAACCAAACATTAGCAAATTTTTTAAAAGAAGAGGAACTGAATAACAGAAGTCAGCCCTTACAGAGCAAGTGAGACTCCTTTTAGCAAATGGCACTCTTGGGCCTAGTGCAGGGCTGGGGATGAGTCGTCTACATTTGTGGAACCAACAGTTTTTTTTTTTGGTCCAGAAAAATATAATTTCGTGATGCTAGTTTAAAAAAATTACTTTAATTCTATGCAGAAACAAAGTGAATCAGGGTTAAACAAATAAGAGTTGTAATATAATGTCTTTATAAACAGAGTGGCAAAATGAACTAGTGCTGTCTTAAAGTTGGTCAGGTTTTGAAAAGCCTTAGCAGGATTGGGATTCACTGACTGACTGAGTGATTGATGATTTATTGATTGATTGATGAACAGACCCTGTGCTTGAAACTTTCTAGTACTGCCTTGGCATCATCACAGAGTGGACAGACCTGCTAAAGACAATAAACAACTGGAATAAGAATAACTGCTGCTCTTCAGTAAATCCTCTATGAACAGGTGGCTAGGTCAGTCTCAAACCTTATATTTATTTACGTATTCAGTCGGAAAGCAGAGTTCTAAAACCCGGATTGAAAATTGTGCTGTTAACTTATACAATATACTTACAAATTTTTGATATATAAATTTCAGCTAGTGTTACCTTGGTGTACAACGTTAGGATCGGAAGTGAAGGTTTAGTTGAAGGCAATCTTAACTCAGCACGACCTAAAGCCTTAGGCTGTAACTTGCCAGCTATGGACACTGAAAATTTCCATACTTTCGAACCCATTTTAGTTCATTTTGCACCTCTCAATTGCAAGGAAGGAACGAAAGAGTCCTGGGTGGGTAACCTGTGGTATAAGCCGCTGGTTTTCTTTCACTGTACTGTGGGCTCGAACCTAGCAAAAAAAAGCTAACGTCGGCACGGTACCTAAGACTAATTTGATCCACCACTGTGCAGGGCTCAAAAATTTTACCAAAACAAGTAATTCTACGAGAGCTAAGTATGCGAAGAAACAATGCTGTATTAAGACGGAATCCACCAGCAAATTGGGTAATTTCAACTCAGGGGACAAAAGCCTTGTAACAGAATAAATTAAACAGTACTGCATTCTCTTTTATATTAGGTAACTAATTACATCTAAGAATGCGATATTGTTCAAATTTTTCTGGTACAAGATTTTTGTCCGCTGAAAATCAAAATTACTCAATTTCCTGATGGGCTGCGTCTTAATTCAAATGATCAGGAAAAGTATTTCATAACATACAGAATTTTCAAAAGTAGGTTGAGTTTGATAGTCCGTCACTGTCAACAACAACACTCCTATTTAGGACTACGTTCACCCGGACGATCAAACTCAACCTACTTTTAAAATGACTCCTCAGTTCAAACCTTTCACAGTTATACAGAATTTTGCATTATTTTACATCACGCTCACCGCGCTTCGGATAGTCCACCAGTGGAGCCACACCCATATTCGCCACATGAAGTAGCACCCTTCCCCCCACCCCTTACTGATTATACGGTAGAGAATGAGGACATGGCACGGTCGGATATTTTAAGATGCGGCTCCTCGTCCGTGACACAGCGACAGAACTGGGAGTTACAACAAAACGGTCAAACGAAAAATAGAGGGACCGCAGTCAGGACAAATCAGTGTTAAGATAATTAAAAACAATCTTTGGTTAATAAAAAAAAATAGAGAGAGAGAATATGCACCGCACACACAAATTTGGGTATTGAAAGGTACGTTCGAACTATCCGCGTAGCTAACAATTTCGGATAAGAAGAAAAAGCGACCTAAAACGTTCGAGACAACCAAAGTTCCCCTAAAACATCCGACCGTAAACAGATAAATATTTTTTAGAACAACTTCAAACTCCAAACAGTCTTCTAAATCAGAGAAAACGAGTTGAGACACTCAAGCTTTCGGAAACCTTTAGTCGTTGGGTGCTCCTATCGGTACGCATGAAAAATTTTTTTAAAAATTTGAACTTTTTTACCAAGTCAAGCACCAATTTTCGTACCAATTTGTTTGACCTGACGTGTTAGCGAAACTACTTAAAACATCAGCGAACAGACGTCAGCGAAACGACTTTTTGGCGAAAAGACTGATCTGTAGACTTCGAATTAAACTGAGTAACCCGTTTTCAGGACTTGAGTACCGGTTTTTTTTTTCTTTAACTCAGCTTCGAACTGCTATTGAAATTTGAAACGATGCATGCACGTAAACATGATTTAATTCTTCCAATTAATATTTCTAACTTTTGTTTCATCCTCCCGTATCTTAATTTGTTCCCAGTAAGGCTGGAAATATAACAGGAATTGATATTTTTCCAACAACCTTTGTCCGGCCTCTGCGCACAATAACGGGGCCCTCTGTCTGGGAGCGTAATGTTGTCTCTCTCGGTTTCCCAGCCTCTCTTGCCCTTACCAGCTTCTCAGGGAGGCCAGGCTAAGGCGGTGTATAGAATCCCCTCTATCAAATTCTTTACTTTTTATCACTTTGGCCAAAGACAAACGTCGTACTTCCCATGAGCTGGATAGCCCAAGTGACAGGAGTTCGTAAGGGAAGGGGAAGCCAATTTGGGCACGAGACCGTACGCGAGAGAGAAGGAAGCTTCTCACGCGCCCGGAATCCCTTTTCCCTTCCCTTTCAAACTCCTGGCACTAAGGCTATGAGCAAGACAAGGCTAATGTTGCAAACAAAGTCTATTGTTCTCTCTCATCAGAGCATTAGTTTCGTCTGTGGGGTTCGCCGTTTGACCCTGACCATAACCTACTCCATGCTAACCTCATTTTTCACTCTTGTGCTTATCAGTTCTTCCTTTGCATTTCTTCTGATTTGCTCGCTACTCTCTTCTATCCTAGTACATTTTGAACATCCTGCTTAACTTAACTTTATAATAAAGTATTGAAAAAGGTGCGCTAACTTTTATCTTGAGGCAAGCCTTTCCATTTGGAGACGACAGACCATTAGAAATAGTTTGGAAAAAAATCACGAACACACACAGACCGCCCAAACTCTTTGGTTAGTTTTATTTTTCAAGGCGTAATTGGTTACATTTACTCTTCGTTGTCATAAGAATTATTTTGTCACAATAGCGCAGCAACCTACAGATACCCTATATTATGCAGAAATAACTATCTATCATGTTAGAGACAGACCATGGATATTTTGAGAGTGGCTTGGATTTTTAGAGAGATGCTGCGATTTCAAAGGAAAGTAACAGGGAGTTTCGCTGCACGAATCGAAAGACGGAACATTTTTTAATTAAGGGATATATATGTGGCGGATTCAGACCCTCAGATAAGGGGGGCCCGGTCATCCAGACCCCGAGATAAGGGGGGGCCGGCCTTAAAAAAATTTTTTTGGGCCTTTGGGGCCTCAGTTTGGTCTAAAAATAAGAGGGACCTCCCCTGGATCCGCCACTGCTTCAATAAAGAACTCGGCACATGAAACGGTTTTGTTTTTATTTTTTGTTACCAGTTTTCTTGTTAATTAAATATTTCATTCGTTATTTGTTATTGAAAACGTTGTTTTCTTTTCCCTTGAACAAAAAGTGCCTAAATGAATTACTATATTTACAATTTTATCATTTTGAAAATGTGTATGCCCTGTAAAGCAGTGCGAGGCGAGTGCTTACCTGTGAGTGAAGTGGTTAGTCACAGGGATAACTGACACCAGACAATTTTATTGAGGAAATTTGAGTGTCTTGTAAGTTGTATACAATAGCGAATAATTACCATAACTTAGCAATTTCTGATGCACTCATTGGTCAAGATGGACAATGAGAGCATTGATAATATATATGGTGAAATAATGGCACAACTATTTGTTTTTCAAGTCTCTTGTTTGCCACCTTTTAAGAATTTTGGCTGAAATAGGTTATTTAAAACATTCAGTGTTATTTTTAAAAATAAATACGCCACAATTTTCCTCGCCTTTACAAAGATGAGATCAAAATGTTCAAAACTCTGCAGTGACACAACAACTCGCCTGGTTTTTCTTGACTTAGATCCTAAAAGATCCAGACTTTGAATTTTACTCTTAAAAGAAGGATAGTAAATGGTGCGTGTAAAACCCAGGACTTGCAGTGATGTCCTGACCTTGAGACACAAGACCTCTAGAGCATATGGGTCATGAACAATGAGAACAGAGTGAAGGAAGGAGCATACCTCCTTCCTTCACTTTCCCCTTCATATCATCTCCCGAATGCTTTATTTTACCTCTCTCCAAGCCTCACTATTAAATATGCAAAAAATCATCTGTGTGTGGAGGAGAGTGAATAAAGTATTGTAAAGGTGAAGAGGATTAGTAAATTATATTGTTATATAGCTGGAAATTTTTTCCCAACAGTGCACGCTCTTATTGGTTACTTTGATGTCACATGACATCTAACAATGAAACTGTTTTCTGACAACATCTCTGAGCAGGAAACATTGCAAAATCTATGACATCAGAGGGTAACAGTGCACTGTTACCCACGAATGTTGACCACCGACTGCCATTAAAGAGAGGTTTAATGAATTTTCAGCTTCAAAATTTCCAGCTATATTACAAATCACACTAGTTCCTCAGGAAACAGTTAATTTTGTTTCCCTTGAATCTCATTGGACCAGTCATTAAGTGTTCAATAATCACTTGATGACTTTGCAGTCTAAATCTGCAGTAACAAGCCACCTGCTGTGATATGATCTCCACCACCTCCAGTCTGCAGGACCTGAGTACAGACTAGCACTGGTGCCACACAGATTTCATAATCATGCTCCTCCCAGCATGACACAGGTGAACTGGGATTGAATTGAACTCTGGGACTGCCGGGAACGACACTTTTGGAGAATGAATCATCCATGAATAGTTTTGACTTCTTGGGGTCAATTTCCTCAGAGCCACAGACATGCCTTGTGGCTGTCAATGAAGCCTTTGCAACAGCTGCTTGAGTATTCTTCCAGTTTGATCCTTTAGTAGTTAGAATGGCTTGAAATGCTAGAGTATGTACATGTAATCTTGTCAGCTCTCTGATCTTTTTTCCATTCCTGTAATTTTCTTTAGAAACTTTGTACACATCTCTCATCAAATCAAGTACAGTAGCGACTCTGGGTTTCTGGCTTGATACCATGGTAATATTTCCATAAAGTAGTTTACTCCATAAATTCGGCAATTCTTGTTCATTCATTCCCATGGAACCTGCATGTGGTATTATATGCTGCAACAGTTCATCAAAAAATGTTTCTTGGTGAAATGGTGCCATTTCAAAGTGAATAGGGACTTGAGATTTGTCAAGAAAAGATGACATCCTTTTCAACATTTCATTGCTTTCCCCAGGAAGGAATCCTGGAAAGTTGTCTAGCATATGAAGCCCTGCAACTACCAAAATGGATGGTGAAAACTGTTGAACCTTCTCTTGAAACTTGTTCAGTGATTTTAGGTAAGGATTATGTTCATCACTGTGTATAACCAATCTATTAGCTCTCTGTGACTCATACTTTCCCCATGGCAAGTGTGCAAGATATTCTAGTATAAGGTGGATATCATCAACGTCAACATTGTCTCCAATGGCAGACATGTTATCTGGCAGCATGTTTATCAATTCTGCTGAGGAATCAGCTGCAGCAAGGACATGACATCCCTCTTTAACAAGTCTTTTACCGATCTGCAACCCACTCCCTCCTACAAGCTTACGTGTTCCTTCTAGGGTCAAGGCTTTGACCACCATCTTGCGAAAAAGTTCCTTATCTTTCATGTAGCGTCTGTCAGAAATAAAAACAGTACAAGTATTTAGTCATAAAAAGAAATATGGATGGCAAGTTTACATTGTTGCTCAGTGATAACTCTTTCATCTTTAGCCTGTGAATACAGCAATCTCTCCTTGCTCCGTGCCATTAGGGACATTTTGAGGGAGAGACATCTGCAATTACACCCAAAAAAATTCCATACATATCAACATTTTATTGATTAATCGAAAGAAATTGATGGTTACAACTTTTTTCACTGTAAGCTTCATTGATTTTCACAATTTATCATTATTTAATATCGATTTCAATGCCATCAAGGATCCCACCATCCGTCTCTAAATAAGGAGGAAAACTGGCATTTGTTTGAAAGACTTGTGTTCAGCTAGTGATCGGTGATATCATATGTTTTTATTTGCTTTTCCATTTACTTTCAATTTGCACTTCACTGATTTCTGATCAGCACTAGCTCTCTTCAGCCCCATTTTTGATTTGATAATGTTAACCTTTCTTTGAACCGTTGAATGGAATTAATATACTAATTATTGCTACAACTTTTCCATCCAAAGCAACAAAAATAGAAACCTTATGTTCTCGAAACATTAAGCCATTCTTTGCCATGGACACCCATTGAAAAACATTGACCGATATTTTGTGCCAATAAAATTCAACAGGTAACTTTGACTAAAATAGATAACATTGGCCAAATCAACACCATTATTGGTCACAACACACACTCTTCATCTGGTTCCAGGTCATGACATCCATTCACTGCTTGAACTTAAGACTTTCACTAGACTTGTCATATATCTCAAGTTAAAACTGGAAATATTGTAAAAAGAAAGCCACATGTCAGATAAATGTGCCAAGCAAAATTCTGCAAAAAGCTGTGATGAAATGGCAGGAGATGTAACTGCCACGACATGTCATCTTCCAGTTGTTCCAAGAATGTACATTCAATAGGGAGCTTTAGGTTCAAGTTGGAGAATGAGCACTACTAGGAGGAAATTAAACTTAAAGTTCAAGGAGGAAATTGAACTAAAATTTTTGATTTGGTTCAAGAAGTAACGTCAGGGTAATATGCATAATTCTCTATGTTCGAATCCCCCATAATACACCCTCTGTTTGCCCCTCAAATTTTGCAGAACAGTCAGTACAGTCAGTCGAATAGTGCTGTTTTAAGCATTTTAATGTACGATTTTTTGTTTCAATTAACATCTTCCTTTCGTAATATCGCTTGGATTCTAACTAAGACTTCAAGCAGTGACGACATGCACCAGTTTATAATTTAAGTAGTGATGTAAAATTATTGACATTAAATTAACAGAGCACTCTAAAGTTATATTTTATGAACAGTTTTATAAATATTGAGGTTGTTTTTCAAATAATATCAACAGAAATTTGATTCAATAACCAAAAAATGTTGATTAACGTCGATAGCTCCCAATTTCACTATGTAATTCTGGCTTGATAAGCAATGAAGAAATGCATGCACAAAATCAAGAACATGCCTTTACAACCCCCTTCAATTTTTTCCTCATGCTGTCCTTGACAGATGAGCCAATCGGCTATCTTTCCCAGTAAAATCCTCCGTGTAGTTATTCTCAGTTTTCACATGACGTCACCAAAACTCAAACTAAGAAACTATCGCTTCTTCTGAGTTTCTACTTTCATGTGATATTAGGGCACCTTAAAACCTTTATACAAACAAATTTTTGGTTCAAAAGGATTCTTTACAGGATACAGGATGCTTGAATTTCCAGGCTTTTGCGTGACGCGGCATTTAGCTCGCGGCCAAGAAGGCTTTTATGTGGGTTAAAAACATTGCGGATTTTCAGAGATTTTGCTATCTAAACATTCCTTGTCTTAGAATAAATATTCCTTTAACCTTTATGAGTTCCTCAAGCAAAGAATTCACGCATAAGTAGGAAAACTCAAAAACAGATGTTTCTGTTAGTTTCTGGTGCCCATATTTGTGCCCCTGGAAGGGACACAAACCTGGCGTCTCCATACAAAGCTTTATAAATTTGGGTAAAACGTTTTTCCGACTATCTCTCATATGAATTATTCCATAGACCTGATTCTTGCAAGGCTTTTTGTATATTTACCTTCTTTCATTTCCCAGATTCTAGACTTTCTGTATTAAAAGGTTTCCATTCTTATTTCTGCTTTCTCACGTGAGTGAAAACCGAGAATATTTTGATAGGAAACTGTGTGCGTGACAAAAGCTCGGGAATGGCCCCGGGGTTGGCAAATGCCCCCGGGCAGCACAAAATTTGCAAATACCCCACCCGCGGGGCTTACAAGGCGGGCAAATGCCCCGCAGAAGCCCAGGGGGTGGGAGGGGGGGGGGTGCTGGGCGCAGCTGGAATTCACTGATACATTAGCATTAATCATATGTAATGTAGGCTAACCCAAACTTCACGAAAATGTGATAATTCCTATAAAAGTTTGTTTAGTTTAGTGGCATTAAATACTTACGATGAAGCTGCACTATGATTAAAGAAAAACGCAAAGGTTTCTAGAAATTCCTTCTCGGACTTGACAACGTCGTGCGCCTTTGCTTCTTTAGGTGGCTCTAGGTTCATCGCTTCTAAGAGGTCGAGAGAATCGACAAAATAATCCACGTTTGCCTCGAAGCCACATGCCACTTTGGGTGTTCCTTTCAAAGGGTTTTCTTGTTCTACAAGTTTTAGTCCATCTAAAACTGCCAGAACACGTTTATATTGACTAGTTACGTGTTTGTAGTAAAAGTAGGCTGCCACAACAATCCCGATTGTCAATATTGTAGCTAAAATGTTGGCCATTTGTTTCCAAATTGTGCCCAAAGATGATTTTAAAACAGATCTAGATCAACAGTAACCTGGTGAAGATGAAAATTACAGCTACAGATGTGACTTTTTTTCCGCGAGTACAAAGAACAAAAGCAAGGCCCTCCGGGAAAGCCGCTGACCATGTATTAGCCTGGGGAGAATGTGCCTCTTTCGAGGGGTGGGTGGGGCGGCGTCGGTTGGAGAGGTAGGGCAAGAGGTAGACTAGAAGAGCCCTAAGTCAGTGGGAGTAGTCTTAGCTCTCCTAAGTTGTACCAAAAAATATAATTTCTTGAAGGCCTTCTTAACAATTTCATTAATATGGATATTCCAGGTCAAATCACTGGAAATATTGAGACCCAAAAACTTTACACTTCGGGCTACAACTTCTAAAGCATGGCCGTTAATGAGAATGGGCTCAAATTCTCGCTGGGATTTTGTAAAGGATATTCGCATTTCTTTACAATTATCAGTGTTCAGTTGGACTCTGTTTTCTAGTCCCCGGGGGGGGGGGTACTCCCTTATAAGGGCTTAATGGGGACGTGCGGCCAGCCAGGGTATGTTTTTCGGGTTTTTTTTCTTAAACAGGGTATCGAATTTATAATTTTTTGTCTTAATCAGGGTATCGATTTATCAATTTTTGTCTTAAAAAGGATAAATGTCTTAAACAGGGTATCAAAAATCGGAATTCTGTCTTAAACAGAGTAGGAAAATCAGCGATATTTGTCTTAAACAGGGTCAGGGTATGAGGGGCCGCGCCGCACCTCCCCACCCAGGGATATATCGTGTACCCCCCCCGGGTTTCTAGTGACCATTGTACTACTCTATCTGTAGCACTTTGGACATTGCTAAGTTCCCCTTTCGCCCCTGCTTTGGAGATAGTGGTATCATCTACATATTTCCATAAACATGCGCTTTCGACAGTATGGTCGTTAATCATAATCAAAAAAAGCCAAGGCCCTAATTTGGTTCCCTGGGGGACGCCTGAGGGGACGGATTCCCACTCAGACACATATCCGTCACCAAATTTGATTCTCTGAGATCTGTTTGACAGAAAGTCAATTATCCAATGAACTATACTATTTGGCACGTCCAACATGCATAATTTCCTTATAAGAATGCTATGGTTAATTAAATCAAAAGCTTATACGGTAATCGAACAAGGCAGTTCTTATAGTAGCACTGTTCCCCGTCGGTACCCTTAGTCCAGTCATGAAGCATGTCCAACAAAGCAAGCGTGGTTGTCACTGAAAGACAGGTTTAAGCTTCTAAGCAGCGAGAACACTGACGCAGGTGAAGCCCGGGGAAGCACTTTAGAAATTTCTGGGTAGGGATGTGCCGCTGGGACCCTGGAACCCTTGACCTATACCAGAGCTAGTTCAGCTGAATTTGGTACCCTATACTAGAGTAAACTCCCAAAATCCCCCTATCCTAGAGTAGCTGTTTCCCCAGTCTAGGTAAAATCTTCAACCAACTGATCAGTTTCATG